CACTCTCCAGTCAGTCTAACCATAGATTGAATTGAGCCCTGAGGGTCCACGTGGGTCCAAATCATCTCTTAATAATGCAGACAGAATCACATTGCTATCTTCCTGGTAGTTATTATATGTCTGGGGCCCAAGAACACACTCAGGTGCTATAAAGCCACAATTATAAAATTCAGTTTGTTTTTAAACTTAATAATCAGAGAAGTTGTTTAATAAATTGACATTTAAATCAATTAACTGTTCCATATTAGAAAGAATGTTATATATTGAGTTTACAGAGTTCAAAAGAGTCATATAATTTCATGGGGTTAAATTAGGGTTTTAAAATGAGTTGGACTGGTCAAATAAGTATGGTCACTGAATGGAAAACTGGAAGACAACTACCCTAGGGTTACATTCAAATGTTGGCCCACTGTGTGCCAGGCATTGCTACCTAAGGCCAATGGTGTACCTGATTTGGGAAAATACAATTTGGCCTTTCACTTCCCTCAATGCCAGGTAGTTATAACTGGATCTAATAGAAATTATGTTGAGATTTTTTAAAAATATATATTTTATTGATTATTTACAGAGAGGAAGGGAGAGAGATAGAGAGTTAGAAACATCGATGAGAGAGAAACATCAATCAGCTGCCTCCTGCACATCTCCTACTGGGGATGTGCCTGCAACCCAGGTACATGCCCTTGACCAGAATCGAACCTGGGACCTTTCAGTCCGCAGGCCGACGCTCTATCCACTGAGCCAAACCGGTTTTGGCTGAGATTTTTAAAAATCTAAAAAGTTAGCTATTCTTATTTTAAGAAAAAATTTAAAAAGACATTTTCATTAATTTCAGAGAGGAAGGGAGAGATGGAAACATCAATGATGAGGGAGAATCATTGATTGGCTGCCTCCTACATGCCCCACTCTAAAGATCCCCACACTGGGGTCAAGCCTGCAACCCGGGCGTGTGCCCTGACTGGAAATTGAACCGTGACTTCCTGGTTTATAGGTCAACACTCAACCACTGAGCCATGCCAGCCAGGCATAGTCAACAATTCTTTATTTAAAGACACCATTCCCTCCCCCCATTCTGAAAACACTATATTCACAATTAGGAGAAAAAAAAAAGTGTAGAAGAGTAGAAAGGAATCACCCACCTTTCCATTGCAAAGGAAAGCCACCATGAACACACTTTCCAGCACAATTTCCCAGTGTGTGGGTGCCTTCATGTGAGGGGGATACTTAGCCAGAGGCAGTGTAACTGGGTGCTACAAGATGAGACACACAAGGTCGCTGTTGAATTTCTGTGTAGAAACCAGCCTGAATGCAAGCTGGGTCAGAAGAGGATAGCTATGAGGACATGAAAGCAGTTTCTTCTGATGCTATCTGCAAGGCTGGAACAGCCGTTTTGCGTAGAGGGAACACGTGTATACTTTGGGTCAGGCACATGAAAACCAGTGAACTAAGATGTTACCTGCAAGATAAGCCTTTCCCCACCTCTGTGTGAACTTGTTCTGTCTTTCCTTGTCATAAGAATAGTGTTGGAACACACTGCACGCTTGGTTCACTCTGTTGTTGTGTCTTTTTCGGGGGAAGAGATGCAACTTAATTTATATCCCTTCTGTAGTAAAACCATCAAAAGTTATATGCTAGTGCCATTGGATAGTTTCCCTCGTTGGAGAAATTAGAAAGGAGGTTCCAAGGGAAATCTGGAACAAGCTATCTGTAGTGAAAGTTCAGTTTTATTTTCCCCCAATCCATTGTAAAACAACCCTTTGGTCAAATATAATAAAAACAAATTGCTAGAAAAAAGGAGAAGAAGAAAAAATTCAAGTCCTAATAACCTGAACTGACCTTAGAATTGCTATGAAATTCCTGACTGTTTTTTTTTCTTCTTTCTGTACTTATTGTGACTCAGATTTGCCAATATTTGAATGTCACACTAGGGTAGCTGTCTTCCAATTTTCCATTCAGTGACCATACGCATTTGACCAGTCCAACTCATTGTAAAATCCTAATTTAATTCCATGAAATTATATGACTCTTTTGAGCTCTGTAAACCCAATATGTAACTGCAACCCTATAGATATAAGCAAGTTTAACAGGGCATAAACTTTGGAAATATGGCCATATACTAATTTGCCCATCTGTGTTGATTGTTTTAAGGAGGGCATAGCAATGATCAAAAGTCCCTTTTCTCAGGAAGTGATGTAGGGATAGAAAATAATACTAAAAAATTATTTATAGTAATAAATAATAGAAAATAAAAAGAGCAATGAGATAGAAAATGGGAGGAGAATGGGGCTATGTTTTGAAATGTGTTTTTATTGATGTCAGAGAGGAAGGGAGAAGGAGAAGGAGATAGAAACATCAGTGATGAGAGAGAATCATTGATTGGCTGCCTCCCGCACGCCTCCCACTGGGGATTGAGCCCACAAACCGAGGCATGTGCCCTTGACTGGAATCGAACCCGGGACCCTTCAATCCTTAGGCCGAGGTTCTATCCACTGAGCCAAACCAGCCAGAGCAAGAATGGGGCTGCTTTAAATTTACTAGTTCAAGAAGCCTCCCTGAGAGAGATGCACATATGTCCCAAATGATGAGGAGTCAGATCTGCAGGAAGAACATTTGGGGCATAGAACAGCAAGTGCAAAGGCCTAGGTATCCTTGATACGGCAGAGGTATCCTTGGCGCCTTCAACGATGGGAAAAGAGCTAATGAGGCTGCAGAGAGTGATACCGAAAGTAAGTTGATGTGGCCCAAGGCATCTTTGGGCTTCATGTCATTTGATAATGGGCAAGTGAAGAATAAACGAGGGAAGGGTAGATAAGGCAACTGGTATCATGGACAACCTGAAAGTGAAATTGTGGGGACAGGCGAGCTAGATTGCAACTGGGAAACATGTAGGACCAAGGAAAAGCAAGAATTTCACCCATGACTTAGCCTGTGGTCCTGCTATGTGGAGAGGAGGCAAGAAGGGCCTGTTTCTTTATGGGAAAGATGATTGATGAGCAGCCTGAGAGGGATTTGAGAGAGGGGCCTGGCCTCATGGACAGTCGATAGGAAGGCTTTGAGGGGAGTACTGGAGTTTGCAGCAGTGGTTGGTACCTGAAGCTGGGTGGATTTGATCGCATTTAGCTCATAAAGCACTCTGAAAATCTTGACATTCATACCACTTTAGAATTTCAACACAGAACGTAAGACATTCATGATTGAACAACTGACTTCCTGCAGTAGGAAAAGGAGTTCTTTGAACAGTGGGTGTTTCAGGGCCATAAAGACCTTTCTTTACATTGTCATCTTGTTATTTCCACTGATGGAAAGGTGGAGATAGGCTGGTGTCCTTACCTGAAGTGATTTAAAAAGTTTTATCTTCTGGATATTGCACTTCCTGTTATAATTCCCATTCAGCTTTCCATCCTCCTGCCTTTCCTAAAATTTAAAGGACATTAAAACAACAACAACAACAGATATCAGATACAGAAAGGTTTTTAACGGAGCAAACAGCCTGAAATGATTCTTTTTAGGAAGAAATATACCACTGTGTAGTCCCACCCCAGCCAAACTTGGAGTAGCATTTAATGCAGGTTAATTCCTGGGGGCAGGGGTAGGGGAGGGGGAGAGAACACAATTTGCAGTTACCTAACTCTGAGGTTGCCTTTAAGAAAAAAGGGAAGAGATGTGCTTGAGCCCAAATTCAATTTTGCTGTTTGTTTTCCCACCTGTGGAAAACCAGGCTGGGTCCATAAATTCTGCCGTATCCAGATAGTTTTAAGACCACCAGTTCTTTTTGAGAATGGACTTTTGGCCACCTTGTTAAGGTACAGGCTCCAATGAAGTCTGGGTGAAAGAGCCTACTTTAATCACACACACACACACACACACACACACACACACACACACACACACTTTTATGGTAACTTAGGAATAATATACTCAAACTTTTAGAGCTAGGAGGGCACAAATATTGCTTTGACCCTTCACTTCTTTAACAGAAGAGGAAATGGGGGTGATGTAACTTGTCCAAGGTCACACAGGTAGTTAGGAGCAGAGCTGGGACTGGAGCTGGGACTTGTCTAGTGACTTTCAGTTTAGTGAACTTTCTACTTTTATCATGTGACTCCTTAGTCCTCCAGCACTCCAAAAGCTGGAACCACATTGGAAAGTAGCCTGTTTTCTTCTCATTAATTTTGGGAGTAGGTTATATTTCAGCGACTAATTGGAATTGAGAAATGTCTTGCATTTGTTGTGTTTTGTTTGGCGTTTAGGTTTTCCCATGACATTAGTTCAGGCTGAAGCCCTGGACAGAATCTGTGACCTGGACCTCGTGATCACTCTGAACATTCCATTTGAAACACTCAGAGATCGTCTCAGCCGACGCTGGATTCACCCTCCTAGCGGGCGGGTGTATAACCTGGACTTCAATCCACCTCTTGTACAAGTAAGAATATACAAAGTGCGCTCACAAACTAACAAGAAAGAACCAAGACATTTTAGTTGAGAAGTGGGTAAAAGATAGGGACTATTGAAAAATAAGCAAATATATATATAGCCAACCAATATTTAAAAGGCTCATTTACTAGTAGTTAAGGAATGTAAATTAAAGTTTATAACATTGATTGCTGGATGGGATTTTGGAAAATTAGAACCGTAAGGATGCCTTCCTAGCTAGAGGTTCAGTGAAGTTCCAATGAGTCTGGCTCATTTGGGCTAACCACTAGTTTCCATATTTTTTTAAACACTACTCTCTAAAAAAAAAAATTTTTTTTTTAAAAATTGATTTCAGAAAGGAAGGGAGAGAGATAGAAACATCAATGATGAGAGAGAATCATTGATTGGCTGCCTCCTGCACATCCCCTACTGGGGGGGATCGAGCCCACAACCTGGGCATGTGCCCTTGGCCGGAATTGAACCTGGAACTCTTTAGTCTGCAGGCCGATTCTCTATCCACTGAGTCAAACTGGCTAGGGCCTCGTCTCCTTTTTAAGTCTTCTTTTTAAGTGTAAGTAGTTCTGGAATTTCTTTATTAGATCTCTTTCTCTTTTCCATCCCAAGAAGCTACTAGCAGGGGAAAAAATGGGTGGGGAAGAACATTCTGAATATGCACTGAAGTCTAGCACAGATGCTTCACATTTTGGCTCTGCCTAGACCTGCTGTTGCAAAGATTCTCATAAACTTTGAGATGATTTAACACTTTCCAAAGACTGGGTTTCCCAACAAGAATACCGGCAGTTACAATGCTGCTTCCAAAGACAGCAGTAAAAGTGCTTGTCTAGGCCAGCTTGACCAGCCCTGAGGTCTGAGAGCTCCCCCAGAAGGCCAGTGCTGTTGCCCTAGCATCCTCCTGCTCTTTCCAGAAGCAGCTGTATTTGCTGGGGCTCTCAAGTCCTAGAAATGACTTCTGAGCTTTGCAGCCAAACGTATGAAAAAAGAGAGGGGGATATAGGTGATGTATAGCCTCTCCCATCCCTGTCGCTCGCTCCTATTATGTCAGAGTAGCAGCGATGGAATACACATGTGACTCACCAGTAAGTCATCAGTGTAAATTATGTACCCAGGACCCTGAGCTGTAATGGAATTTAATGGAGTTGTAGCGAGCTTTAAATTTATAGCCAGTTTCTGATTATCCAGTTGAGTTGCCTGAGCACTTTGGTTCTGCTCTAGCCTGCCTTCTGACAGGTTTATTTCTTTTGACTATCTCCCTGGGTGCAGAATGGCCATGGACTTGGGAGGCAAAATTCTGATCTGTCCAATTTGCTGTTTCTATGTAGGGTTCCTGAGGAGGTTAAAATACGTTTAAAAATCAGGTGTTTTTTTTTATTGCCATTTTTCAGTTCTCAGAATGTTTGTTCCTGATTATCATGAGTGTATGATTCATGCCTATTTTAATTTACCTTTATTAAGAAAATTCTTTTTTTTAATCCTCTCCCAAGGATATTTTTTGCATTGATTTCTAGACAGAATGGAAGGGGAGATAAACATCGGTGATGAGAGAGGCACATCGATCTGCCATTCCCCACATACACCCCAACGGGGGCTGGGATTGAGCCTGCAACCTAGGCAGGTACCCTTGCCTGGGAATCCAACCCATGGCCCTCTGGTTCACGGGCCGATGGCTTAACCACTGAGCCAAATTGGCCAGGGCTAACTTACCTTTAGATAAATTATTATTTGATTTAGTAAAATAACACGAGGAAGATTACTCTTAGAAAAGCTACATGATAGAACTTGAAAGTTAGCGGAGGCAGGACTAAAATGATCTTCTCAGTTAGTGCTTCCCCTAAGTAAACCAGTTGGCTCCTTGAAACATTTCATTTTCTATATTAAGAACTCAGGCTTTAGAGAGCATCTCCATTTTGTTGAAAGGTTGCTTGTTGGCAGAGGGAGGCTGCTTGGAAATTTAAACTGAATTGAAGGTATCATTTATCAACAGCACAGGAACCTGCTTGGAAAGATCTGAGAAGTTAATAAAGATTTAATGTTAGCTCTCATGAAGTAGGGCTTACATGCTGTTAAGAGTGCCATTTCTTTTCAAGTGCCTTCCCTGTTACCACTGGTACCCAGGCCTAACCCATTATGTGGTGGGAATCAAAAGTGAAGACATGGTTTTCACAGGAAAGTGTTTTACTATGGAATGGCCCGACCAATGTCCATATTAACTGGTTCTCTGGCATTTGTAGGGGGTTGATGACGTCACAGGTGAACGGC